TTAGTGTGGTGTGGGGGTGCGAGGTCGGGAGCCACGGCAGCCACCTTGTCTCTTAGTGTGGCGTGGGGGTGCGAGGTCAGGAGCCACGGCAGCCACCTTGCAGTCATGAGGAAGTGACAGCACAAGGCGTCACTGACATGTAGAAGACAGGACAGAGGGAGACAAAGCCAGAGACATCAGGAAATCAAAACCCACCTGACACCACATTACCCTCTCTCTCACAGTAGCTGTATTATCACAAGCTAGATTTTCCTGTTACTTGCAACCAGGCGGGCTCTAGCACACACAATGTAGCACATTCTAGTTCACCTGTAACTCCTGCAAACCAATGGCACGGACTTGCCATACCAGAACAGTGAGCTGCCCTGTGCTGAGTGGAGAACGGGTGCCTTTGACCGAGTATCTCTAGCGGAAGCTTCCTGCACTCACCATGCCATGTTTCTTATTGGAGACCCACTCCCCCTCGTACATGGCCCCGCTGGCGTAGTAGAACTTCCCGTGTCCGTGGCGATTTCCGTTCACAAACTCTCCTATGTATTCATTTCTCAAAGGATACTGGGAGTTGATGATTCTCTTCAGGAACCACGTGTGCGTCCCAAAGCCATTCTGGAAAGAAAGCAAAGTGCTCACAGAAAGGCTTGGAATATTCTTATTGAGAACTTCAATCCAGGGGCTGGCTTGAAGGGGCAGCGTGGTGAGGGAAGGGACCCTGGTGGCCAGTCACGCAGATGCGGGTTCCCGCTCAGCTCTCTCTGACTGATGACCAGTCTTGGGGGGCTGGCGAAAGCTCACTGGATTCTCACTCATCTATTTAGATGGGAGGCTTCCTGCACGGGCTGTCAAAGGTATGTATCAACTGCCTGGATTTCTAATGCTTATTTCAGTGGTTCTTTTGAATTTTATTTCTAAAATAGACATTAATCCAGGTGTCCCCTCAGGATTCCTTTCTAGAGTTTGGTGGTTCAAGCCCACCAGTGGCTCTGAGGGAGAAAGAGGAGGCTGTCTGCCCCTGGAAAGGTCTACAGCCTCTGAAACACTGTCTGGGGTTGCTGTGAGTTGCAATTGGCACAGTGGCTCTGGGCTTGTTCTGTTTGGCTCCTTATGGGAGCCATGTGCACTGCAGATTTGCAATGACCAACCCTCGTCTGTTGTGTGAGGTCATGAGGGAAGACAGGTGTAACACCACAGCGATCAAAGCGCAAGGCTTAGAATGCAATGACACAACTGTGAATTGTGTGGGCAGAAATTGTCGAGTTGGTGCATGCTCGCCTGCGTGTATGTATCTTCTCAACAACAAAAATCGATTTTTCTTTTTTAAAAAGGTACAGTTCAGATCGGTAAACACACATGCGAGTCTCTAACAAGGATGTCGTTAGTGAGAGCCAATTAGCAACAGCTAACGCAACCACGACAGTATTTCAGGTCACCACCAGGGTGGGCTCAGCTGAGCACACGCATCTGGGTATGAAAGTGCGGAGCCTCGACGTGTCCAGTACCTGGATCCCCTTCTCCCATCGTCCAGTGTACTCCTCGTTGGTGGTCAGCCACCGCATTCTGCCCTCCCCATGACGCATGTTGTCTTCCCACTGGCCTTCGTAGATGTTTCCAGATTCGTAGCTAGAGCGGAATCAGTTAGACACAATCAGTCATCCCTCAGACAACATTCCCTGCCAGGATCTTTCCCTCAGCGTTCTCCCTTGGCATCTTTTAGACTCCAGCCCTAGGCCCATCCAACCCTCCTGGTGATTGAACTCAGTGGACAGACAGAGGAGTTGTGGAAATCATCATCCTGGGAGTCAGAAGAAATCACTTTGCTAAACCTTCTGGATTTTAATCAGGTGACAGAGTAGATAGGACTGGTTCCCCCCACCCCAATCTCTTCCCGTATATACTCGAGCATAAGCCGACCCGAATATCAGCCAAGGCACCTAATTTTACCACAGAAACTGCATTAAAAATGTGCTGGAAAAACTCGGTTTGTACACAAGCACATACGGTAATTACCTTTAGGACTGTTTCTGCTTTAAGTTAACATCCTGCCCCCAGTACTTGAATCTGCAGCATACTCTGAACGCCAAGGCTCACCCTGAAGGCAAGCGACCATCAGGAAACAAATGGTGTCCTCACTGCCGAACGGAAAGCTCATTTGCCCTGGAAGCTTTCACCCAAACCACCACAAACGAACAAGATGGGAAAACGTCACTCCCTCACCCTCCGTAGACAACAAACAGCTAGGACGGAAGCCATGGCCCGTGCTTCCTTAACAAAGGCCGTTTGTGCGTTTCACAAAGCGGTACCGGCATGACTAGATGGTATTTGAAGGGTGTCTTTGTCAAACTTCCGTGGGCCTTTGAACTAGCCCAGACTGCAGTGGGATCCGCTGCAGCCCCTGTCCCTGCTTCTGTAGAAGATGCGTGTTCTCTGTAACCCTGGCGCCGTCCCTTGAAACCGCCTGCGTGGACTCGGCTGGGCCCCGCACCCGCCCTCCCCGACCCCACCAGCAGGGCCGCGCACGTACCTACCATCTTATCCCCCAGCCCTTTCTGATGTTGTCCACCCAGTCTCCCTCGTACCAGGAGGTGCCATCTTGATTGTAATAAATGGAGCCCTAGAGCAGATAACACAACCTTTAAACACCAAGCCTTACCAAAGAAATGCTTCTTAAAGGTGAAGACAGAAACGGGGAGGGGGCTTCCGGGGGACAAGTTCTGCAGATGCCCAAGTCATCCTCGGGTGAGTCGTGGGATGTGCTGCCTCTTGTAGAATCAAGCAAAGAGCCAAGTGTCATGGAGGGAGGATGAGATGGTGTCTCCCGGCAACGCCCCTCAGTAACAAGGGGCCACGGGAGGGCCTGGTGTGGCCTCATGCATCACGCAGCTCAGCAACCATTAACCAAGTGAGTCCCCAAGACATCCTGCTTTGTGGCCAGCTGAGTTAAATAGTGATACTTTCTGTCTCATGGAGAGGGCTCCTGGGTGGCCCCAAAGGCTGGTGCTCAGCTGCCAACTGAATCGGCCCAGTGGTTCCAGGGAAGAAAGGCCTGGCTGTCTGCTTCTATAAAGACCGTGGCCAAGATGAAGGGGAAGGTGACAGACCTCCCACAAGGGGAGGTCAGCACACACGACCAGACAAAGGGAGACCTTGGAGGGGCCCAAGAGTAAATGGCAGCAGTGGCCAATGCTATGACATCGCAGTCCTGTAGGGACCGCCATTTACAAGTAGATACACAGATAGATGGACAAGATGAATAGGTGTGTGTGTCTGTGTGTGCGCGCGCACAAAAAAGAGAGAGAGAGAGAGAGAGAGAGAGGCAGGCGCAGTGGGGAGACAGACAAGACGGACACGGAGAAAGAGTATATATTTGACAGAGCATTTCTTTACATTCAGATTTATAATGAGCTGCAAATACCAAAAACCATCTATTCTGACCTTATATAGAGTTTTAAGGTTTGTAAATCTTTACAGGAGTAAACAGCCTCATCTTCCTCCAAAAGAGCAGCTGGTGGGTTTGAACCACTGACCCAGTGGTAAGCAGCCCAGTGGTACCAACGGTGGTACCAGGGCTCCTGGACCTGTGTATATATCGGCACAGCCAGAAGGCACAGAGGCATGAACAGTTCTTAGCCGTAAGCAAACACCTTGAGGGGCTGTAGCACCTGCCTCCAGATCAGTCTTGAGGGATGCCTACGTTAACTGGTCTAACACAGTTCACAAAGACAACGGTCTAGATCCTAACTTGGTGAGTAGCAATCTAAGATGCAATGACTGGTCTCTCATCATCTGTGCAAGAAGAATGAAGAAAGCCAAAGGCGGTGAAGAAACAATTAGTGTAGAGAAGAAACCAACCATGCAAACCTCAGAGACCAGAAGAAAGAGCTGGCGCCCAGTGGCCACGACTGACCCCTCTGATGGGGGTCACAATAGACGGTCCTGGACAAAATGGGAGGAAAATGTAGAACAAAATTCAAAAGCATTAAAAAAAAAATGGGGAGGCAGATTGACTGGTGTGATAAGAGACTGGTAGAACCCCCAAGACTGTGGCCCTTCAAACCCCACTCTTGGGGTCACCTGTCAGCCCCACAGCAGCGGGGCCTGTCAAGAGCCCACCAGCACCAGAGGAGCATGCTCCTCAGAGCACCCAACCACACAAAGCAGGGCTCGGACATCAGGAAGAGACCGGTGGGCACAGGGGACCCAGAGAGGAAGTGGGGAGAGCATGGCTACGTCGAGGGGGCGGCAACTAAGGCAAAGAAAGGAAACTGGTTTGAGTCGCTGAGCAGAAACCCAGCGTGCCGCACACACATCCACCCAAATCACCACGAGCCAAAGAAAACCCTCCCTGCGTCCAGTCGAGTCGGACTCACAGCCACCCCGCAGGGCAGGGTGGAACGGCGGGGGTTCCAAGACTGTCACTCTGCGGGAGCAGAAAGCCTCATCTGTCCCCGAGGGGGAGCGGGTGGTTTCCAACTGCGGACCTCACGGGTAGCAGCCAGTGTGCAACGCTACACCAGCAGGGCTCCCTCAAATCACAACCACATGGGCACAAAGCAAAGGTAAAAGAGGGCAGCCAAGGAAACACTCCAAGCAGCCACCCTCCGAGTCCCTGGGGTGGCCATGCTTCAGAACTGACTGGACAGCCACACGGCCATTCACGGACGTAATTCAAGGCCGCTGTTTCCCTAGGTGCCGAACCCCCTTCGGTGTGATCCGAGTACTGGCGACCACGACCCCGGTCTTCCTCGCGGTGGCTGCTGCGTGGGGCCATCACGTCTGTTCCGAGGGACAGAGACCTTCAGGTGGGCCTGCCCCAGGGGGTTTCCTAGGTGTCCTGAGGGGAAGGCCCCTGATGGCTCGGCTGTGAACAGAAAGGCCACAGTTCCAGCCCACCCAGCGGCTCCCCGGTTTGGAAGGCCGGAGTCATCAGCTGTCCCAAGCTGGCAGCCCAGGAAGGCCCGAGTGGGGGGGATGGGAGGGTGGGCAGCTCTTTGCCAGCCCACAGGGCCACTGTGAAGGGCATCTGCACCACCAGACTCCACATGTCCCAGCTGCCCCATCCTAGCGAGCCACCAAGAGTGCTGAACGCAGCATCCGCTGAGGCCGAGAGGCGGGAAGCAGGGCGAGTGCTATGCCCTGGATGGCTCGGCCAGAGAGCCACAGACCCCTGGGCACACTGCCAATGAAAGTTCCCAGGGCGTGTGAGCCCCTTAGGAGGAGCCCAGAAGGGGCGAATACAGATACAGAAAGCAGATCAGGGGCGGCTCGGGGGCTGGAGTGGGTCGGCTGCTTCCTAGGTACAGGGCTTTTCCTGGGGGAAGGTGGCTTGAGGAGGATATTCTAGAATGACAGAAAGGTGGGGCTTGCCCATGCTACAGGGGCATCCCCGCCCTCGATGGTTCTAAAGAGCACATAGCCCCCGCTCCCGCACCTTGCCGTGCCTCTTGCCGTCACACCAGTGGCCGATGTAGGACACCGGCTGCGAGCTGCTCTTGAACATGCCGAAGCCGTTGCGCATTCCGTAGACCACGTCGCCCTCGTAGGTGCTGCCGTCGGGCCACGTGTACGTGCCACGGTTCATGGGGACGTTCTTCACAAAGTCGCCCTGTGGCAGGGGGCGGTGGGGAGAGCTCCGCCAGGGGGCTGCTCAGACCCCACCCCGCCACCTTATCCTCCCCTCCTCCCATGGGGCCCCTCCTCTTGGCAGAGGCCCAGGCTGACCAGTCAGACAGAAGGGGGGAGGTGGGCAGGGGACTTCTCGGTCTTGGGAGCTTTAGAGGCGAGAGAGAGAGAGAGAGAGAGAGAGAGAGACAGACAGACAGACAGACAGACAGACAGACAGACAGACCGACCATCTTTAGTGAGAGGCTTCCCTCCATGGCAGGAGGTATCGGAATACTCAGAGGGCCTGACACAGAGATGGGAAGGGAGGTTGGGGAATGGCACGTCAGACCTGGAGGGGTGGGAGGCGAGCTTCCGGAGGGTGGACCAGAGGGGACTCCGTGGCAAACGGCCACATCAGGATCCAAACCAGTCCCTCTGCTGCCCTACAGGACGGAGCAGAGCCTCTGTAGGGTTTCCAAAGTTGTCCGTCTGTACAGAAGCAGACCGCCTCATCTCTCCCACCGAGTGGCCAGTGGGCTTGAACCACCAAACCTTTCAGTCTGTAGCCGAGCGCTTCACCCACTGTGCCACTAGGGTCTGTCAAACTGCCTTGGAAAGAAAAGTATTCGAAAGGAAGAAGAGGGGTGAAGACGTGCAAGGTGCACCCCATACAGAGAACCTTCTAGACCCTTCTAGTGAAGCTGGTAAGAGCTGTCGCTAGACGGCGCAGTGCTGTCAGGAGTAACTTCTCACTTCTGGGACTATGAGCCGTGAGTTTTCACATTCTGTCAGAACTAGAGTTGTTCCGCACTTACCTCGTATTTCAATCCGTCCGCCCAGATATACGTCCCTTGTCCGTGCATGAGTCCTTCTGAAAACATGCCCTGTGCAGAGAAAAATAAACCCAAACTGACGACAAGCACCCTCAGAACACGGCTGTTTATTTCACGCCCCAAATGCCACCTGCATTCGGTTCTTAGACACAGCCCCTCTCCCTCCTGTGGACGGGCCTGCCAGCCCTGTGAGGAGAGCTGCCTGTGGCGTGGCAGGCAGGTTTGAAGATGGGGCCGAGCTGTTTTAAAAATTATCAAAGGCAGGTGGTCAAGGAAAATTCAAGTCTCCTCGGGCCTGCGTTGGGAGTCCTGGCAGTCTAGTGGCTATGAGTTGTTCGACTAACTGCAAGGCCAGCAGTTCAACCCCACCAGCTGCTCCACGGGGGGCGAGATGAGGCTTTCGTTCCCACGAAGATGCCCACCCTCGGAAACCCACGGGGCAGTTGGACTCTGCCCAGCAGGGTCACCGTGAGTGGCAGGCAGTCGACTAGATGGCAGTGCATTTGGTGTGAAGGCCTGTCATCGGGAAACGCGTGGGAGTCTATCTAAGGAACACGCGTGGGAGTCTATCTAAGGAACACGCGTGGGAGTCTATCTAAGGAGCCGAGAGGTGGGTGGTTTGAACTTCTCGGCTGCCCTGAAGAAAAGGCCTGGCAATGCACTTCCATGAAGACGCCAGACAATCACACTCGATGGGACGCAGCTTTACTGTGACATGAGGCCACCACGGGGGGCGCCACACGCAAAGGCAGCCCAGGACCGGCAGTAGATCTCATTCCTGTCGGTCACTGGGGCGGAAGGTGAAATGCAAGGAGCAGCTCCAGCCCCTGGTGACGCAGCAGGTGGGCAGTCTGCCCTGGAAAGAACTCGTATACTCTGGGGTTTGCACTTCAGCACCGAAGGGCTTTACACGTTTTCATGGAATCCAGGCAAGAGCGCATGAAAACCGCTATCCCCAAACAGAAACGATGGCATTTGTAAGGTACCCGCTTTCTTGTCCATTTTCCCCACCCTGGGAACACACACGTCCAAGAAAAGGGAACCCAACACTACAGCCCTTACCTTCACCATATGCCCGCCTGTACACTGAGCAGTCACACACCAGACAGGCGAACGCGTGCCTGACAACGGCCACTCCATCGGAGGAGACCCGCAGCATGTGCCCAGGGAGCAAGCTCAGAAGGCACGACCCCACCACGTGCAGTACAGTCTTCGAGGTGCGTGTCCTGTGCAATGGACGGCTGAACCCAGCGGTCAGAGTCGCCTTGGCAGGGACCGCTGGTGTCAGAATGGGTAAGGAAGGGTGGTAGGTGGAGGCATGTTTGACCTACAGCCTCAGGCTGATGCCCAGTTGGACCATACTCCTTTCTTGCGAGGTCAGGGGTCAGATGCTGCCCTCATGCCCTTCTGACACCAGGAGAAGGGGAAACGGTCCTGTATTTCCCTTTCTCGCCAAGATGCTTTTATAGAATCTTTGGGCCCAAAGCTCCGTCGATGGCAGCCAGGCGCCATCTGGTTCCTCTGATCTCAGGGCAGAGGCGGGGCTTCTTGTTCACAGAGGCCCTTCGCTTCCTTCCTGTCCTTCCAGGCAGAGGTTGGCTGTGATCTAAACAGAAACGGACCCGGTCTTTCGTTCATGCCACCGGGTGGTTTCCAACTGCCAACCTTTCCTTTAAGAGACCAGTGTAAGCGGTTTGTACCACCCAGCGACCTTGGTCATATGCCAGGGCCGAGGATGATGAGAGGGGCGAGGAGGCACTGCCAGATCACTTGTGGCACTTCATGAGCCTTCATGAACGGCTTAATGAATGAGATTTCCCACTTAAGCAGTATTAAATGAATAGCTACTTTAATGGATGCTCTTTCATGCCGATTATTTCAGTAAATATTATTCATAATGAACAGAATTTTAATGAGTATTACCCAGCATTTTCATGACTGCTATTCAGCCGCTGTAAATGGTGGTTTGGGTAACGTGAGAAAATGAGCATTCAACTGCCAAGTGGGGAAAAAGCCGTCTCTTCCGGCGTCCACGACAAAAAAGAATGGGGTGTATTTCTTTGATAATGAGAGACTTAAGTAAAAACCTTCACGAGGGCATTATTAGGGCCACGGTGACTCAGAGGGTAAAGCGCCCTCAGGCTCGCTGAAAGACTGGCGCTCCAAATCCACCAGGCTCCTCGTTGACGATGAAGATTCAGCAGTCTGTTTCCATAAGGACACCGCCTTGGAAGCTGGCCCCATGCCCAGCCCAGCGCTCGTCTGCCTGTAGGGCTGTGAGACAGGGCCCGCTCCGAGGCGGCAGGAGGTAGCCAGTGCCCGTGGAATAGGAGTTAGGAGCACCCGCGAGGAGCCAGGCCGAGATGCGGAGAGAGATTCAGATAATCTCAAAGGAAGATTCTGGATGTGCTCTGCAAAGCTCATCACAGATGTCACCAGGCCGGCCCGCCCACTGCATGTGTAAGAGATGTGTAAGAGATGCGGCAGAGGAGCGCAGCTGGCCGTGCGGGGCTTTGCACCTCCATGTCGTCCGGCTGAGAAATGAACACCAGGAGAGGAGGCGTGCACAACCACTGCTGCCGGGATGTTGTCCGTCGTGAGCAGCCGGCCAGCGACTCCAGGTGTGTTGCAGAAGGTCGAGGAGGCCGGCTCCACTCCGGAGCTGTCCCGGCTGTACCTTTCAGAAGCAGAGGGCCAGCCAGTCTTCCACACAGCACCCTTTTGGAGAGTCGGCCAGCACTTCATTGCTGTGCCAACCAGGGAGGCCAGCCTTCAGAGTGGTCAAGGAGCCCCCACCCCAACTGGGCACAGTGGGGTTAAGCCCTGGACCACTAACCAAAAGGTGGGGGTTCAAACACACTAGCCACTCTGTGGGAGAAAGAGGAAGCCGCCGTCTGCTCCCATAAAGAGGTGCAGCTGCAGAAACCCTATGGAGACAGTTCTACTCTGCCCACAGGATCGCTAAGATGAGACGGAGTCGTCCTGGTGGTGGAGGGTTTGACCGCTAACCGAAAAGGAAGTGGGCTTGAAGATGCGGCAGTCTGCTTCTTCGGCAGACGCATGACCGGGAATCCTACGGGGCAATTATATGCTGCCCGACAGGGTTGCCAAGAGTCCACATGACTTAAAGACAGTGGATCTGGTTTAAAGAGAAAAAAAAAAACAAACACCCCAAAAACCCAAACCCCTGCCATCCAGCCAATGTCAGTTCATAGTGACCTTATAGGACGGGGCAGAACTGCCCCTCGGCTCTCCAAGACTGACTCTTAGCAGTAGAAAGCCCAGACTTCCTCCTGCGCAGAGCAGGGCTGGTGGTTTCAAACTGCTGACCCTGTGCATCACAGCCCCACATGCAACCACTACACCGCCAGGGCTCCCGTGGTTCAGAGAGTAGTCAGTATAGGGTATCCCTGGCATCTTTTGAAGAACCAATGCACATTACTGAATATGCGACTCCAGCCCGCTCCCATCACCTCATCCTCCCCACCCAGGTGGCTCCCGAAACGCAAAACTCACATGGTAGGTGCAGCCTCCCTGGAAGACAGCGAAGCCCTCACCCTCGAACAGTCCCCGGACTTTCTCGCCCTCGTAGCTGCAGGGACAGAGCTCCAGCTGAAGGCCAAGGCCCACGAGCCTCGCCGACCAATGGACCAACCGACCGAGGGCTCGCACACAGGGCCGGGAGGGGCTCTCACACACTCATCCACTCGCTCGACAAACATCTCCCCAGGCCACCAGCAGCCCATCCTCCTCGTCCTTCCTTCCCTGAGAGGGTCCGTCCCATTCATGCAGGGAGACAAGACGGTGGTAAACGGGGGAGGACACCAGCATCCACACTGTCCCAGGTTCGTGATGGACGGTTGGGGAAGGGGACTGGACAGAGCGGGGATGCAGCAACTGCACTTTGAGGGGCAGGCTGGCTGTGTGTCCCCCACCCTGCCCCGCAGATGTGTATCAACAGGGCTGGGCCGTGAATCTCAGAGGTCTGGCAGTTCCGTCCGTAATGATGTAATCTGCTTGACGCAGGTCAGCAGTTTGAACCCACTAGCTGCTCTTCGAGAGAGAGCCGAGGCTATCTGCCCCCGTCAAGATTTACAGTCTCAGAAATGTTAAAGGGGCAGTTCTATTCCGCCTTGTAGGGTCACTGTGAGTTGGAACTAAACAGAGGACAGTGGGCTTAGGTTCAGAATCAGCCAGGATGTGGTCACCCCTTCGATGTGATCGAGTGAGATCAGCTATAAGGGGGTTTGAAGGAGATGGGTTAGAAGCCTGTTCCCTGCAGCGCCTCCCGAGACAGCCAAACGTGAGCGGAGAGACACGGCATAGTCCATCCACCCAATGGATGCTCCTCCGCTGGACAGAGACACGGCCTCCCGCCACACAGATGAACTGTGAAAACATGCTGCTCCAGGAAATTGGAGTCACAGAAGGGCAACAACTGTGTGATCGCACTTATGCAAGATTATCAAACAGAAGACAGCAGTGGCGAGTGGGAATCAGGGGAGGGGGAGCAGTGGGTTTCCGAGAGAAGTGGTGGAATCCTTGGGGAAAGACTGGGAGAAGCGTGCTGGACTTACAGTGAGTCATCGGCATCGCTGGAGGAGTAAGTGGGTTTAGGTGAATGTTTTGGTGTGTTTTTCGACGAGGAGGAGGCGGCGGCGGCAAACCCTAAGGGGAGCCCTCGGGTAGCGCCAATGGCTAATGCATTAGGTTGCTAATCAAAAGGCTGGAGGTTCAAGTCCTCCGGAAGAAAGGCCTGGGGGTCTGCTTTTGAAAACCCAGCCACTGAAATCCCCGCAGAGTGCAGCTCTGCTCTGACACACGTGAGCTTGCCAGGACTCAGAGGCCACTCAATGGCCAACAAAAGGCAGTCATTAGCTGAGTCACAAAAATCACTGCCATTGAGTCCACGCGACTCATAGCGACGCCACAGGCAGGGTGCAGCTGCCCTGATGGGTGTCCACGGCTGTGAGTCTTAGGACAGTGGTTCTCAACCCTCCTCCTGCCGCGACCGTCACACAGTTCCTCATGTCGTGGTGACCCCAACCGTAACACTACTGTCGCTGCTACTTCATCACTGTAAGTTTCCTACTGTTATCAATTGTCATGTAAATATCTGATAGGTTGTATTTTCAATGTTACAAAGTGAACATCATTAAAGCATAGTGATGAATCACAAAAAAGTATGTAATTCTATATTGTGAAGTATTTATTTCTAATGACAAATCAATGAAATTTTGTCTGGAAGCATGGTGTGCATGGGTAACACCGTAGGTTACTCAAATGTGGGTGTGTCTGCATGTGGGTAGACCTGCCTGGAGATGGCTAGAAGAGCCGTGTCTCGGTTCCTAAGACCATTGGAAATACCAACAGTCTTAGGTGACCCCTGGGAAAGGGTCATTCGACCCCCAAGGGGTCTCGACCCGTAGGTTGAGAACCACTGTTTTATGGACTAGAAAGCGTGGTCTTTTTCCAAGGAGGGTCTGGGTGGTTTAGAACTGCTGAGGCTTCATGGTGCTGGGCCATCACTAGCAACTACCCTGGAAAGGGTTCTATCTGGTAATCCTGGAGAGAGGGGAGAGTAATGTGGGAAGGACTCAATCATGAGAGAGACCAGGTTTACTGGTCAGACAGTGAGCGACTGGTGGGTGCTGAGTTACCCATCGGCTTTCAGACTGAACTCAGCCCTGGGTTAGAACAGTCAACCAGTCCACATGCCAGGCTCCAAGGACAGAAGCCAGAGGGCTAGGGGTGGAGAAGGAACAGGGACAGGAGGCACAGGTGTGTGTGTGTGTGTGTGTGTGGGATGGGCGATGGTGCTTAAAAAGAAAACAATTTTTAAAAGGCTGACTCAGAAGGTCAAACCTGAACCAACGCCGTTGCCATCACAGTCAGTTCCGAGCCCGGGCTGCCCTGTGGGGGCTAGCAGAATGACCGGCGGATTCTGAGGCTGCTGGAAGGCTCAAACCACTGACCTCTGGGTAGACGGCCAAGCACTGGCCCACTGGGCCCCCAGGGCGCCATCATGCCCGAGCCCACCCACAGACAGCACCTTTCCACGATGAGTTTGGTCAGAATGGGCTCTTCGTAGTGCGTGGTGTCTTCCTTCGGGATCTCGTTTATGGATTCTGCCTGGACCTCGATTTCGCTGGGCTGCTTTTCCACGATCGGGGTCCGACTGGGGGATGCGTCCTGCCGGCCGGCGCTGCCATCTTGTCTGGAAAACTCTGGGTAGTCGGTGAGGGAGGAGGGCGAGCGGGCAGACTTATCCCCTTTCTTGTCGGCCTTTTTCTTCTCTTTCACCATCGTCGTCGTCTGGAGACGCGGGCTTCCTGGGGTTCCAGTAGGCACGAGCCCTGGGTTTCAACACCGATGAGTTTTCCCTGAAAAGATGAAAAAGGTTTCCTAAAGGCTTAAGATTTTCACCTATTAAATCTCTAGTTTTACGACCCGTCACCATCGTTCTCCTCCCCAAACCTGGAAAAGACATTCCTAAGTCTCCTCAGTTTATACACATTCAATTACCATGCTGCTCAAGTTCTTCCGAATGTTTGTCTTCCCTACCCATGCCCCTTCTGTGCAGCCACCATCTGTCTGTCTGGGGACGCTTGTGAGTCTCTGAGATGCTGATCAGGTCTCAGCAGAGCCTCCAGACTGAGCGATGAGAAATGTGGAAGAAAGGCCTGGCGATCTACTTCCAAACATCAGCCAATGAAAACCCAAATGGATTACAATGGTTGGATCCACAACTGACCATGGGGGTGGTGCAGCACCGGGCAGCCCTTCGTTATGTTTGTCGGGGGTAGCCACGCACGCGCCAGGGCAAACAGCTCAAACTTAAGTCTTTTTTCAGTTTGTTTTTTCCATGGCAGTTTCTTTTCAAATTGTGCTCCATAGGGTTGGAAAATGGCTACTGGGCACTACAGTTCTGCCTGTACCTGTCGCTGCTGAGTAGACTCTGACTCACAGCCGCCCCAGGTGTGGCAGAGTGGGGCTGTGTCACAGTGTTTTCTTGGCGATAATTGTTACACACAAGCAGATCACCAGACCTTTTATCTGTGCTGCTACTGGGTGGATTCCAACCCAGAAGGAAGCATCCCCAGGGATCTTCCCTAAGGTCCTGTGGACTGCCAACCCATGCCTTCAGAGCCCTCCTGTGACTGGGCCAGCAGAAGTGAAGTTCAGGCATTCTTCCACTTACCAGCCTATGTCCTTGAGTGAATTACTTCATCTCCTCACCCAGATATCAAATGCGCATGGTCATAGCACCTTGTCACCATGCAAGGTTTGGATGAGCGATACACAGAAAATCCTGATGTACAGGACAGGAGGCATGGCCAGTGCTATGTCATGTCCCTGATTTTGAACTCAAGGTCACTGGCTGCTTGTCCTCTAACACAGTACTATCTCCTACTGAAAATTTCTTATATGCCAGACAAGAAATGGTGTGCTAGCCCTTTAAGGTTCAACGGTTGGTCTCTGCTCATTTAAATCAAGGGAGAGTGAAGAAAATTAAAAGTGCAGAGAAACAATTGATCCAAGGGACTAAGAGACCACACACCATGGCTCTGGGACCAGAAGAATTAGATGGTGCCCAACCACCAGCACTCACGCTCTGAAGAGGATCCTATCAGAGAGAGAAAAATGTGGAATAAAACTCAACAGCATGCAAAAAGGCCGGGTTTACTAGTCTGATAGAGACTGGTGGAACCACCCCAGTCTCTGGCCCTTAGCTACAGGCCTGGAAATGAATTCACCATGTCTCCATTTTCAGCCCCCAAACAGGCCCCTAAGAACAACCACCATCCTGGGAGGTGTGCACTCCGTAGAATCATCCCCCCTTTGAGATCAGACGGGTAGCATCTGCCCCAGCATAAAGTTCAGAGGAAAGCAGGAAGATTGACACTGGTAGCCCAGGGAGAAGCGGGAGGTGCTGGTCCATCGTGGGGCTGGCAACCAGTGACATGAATCAAAACTTGCTCAGGTAGTTACAAAGAGAAAGCCATTCACAATCCCGCCACTATTAAATTTTTAATCATGTAGCTGCATACATGGGTATTCTTTGTATAATAATGGATCCTACACTAACTTGATTTTTAAATGTAATAATACATTGTGGGTAACTTCATGTCAGTAAATCTACATAATTTTTTTAAATGTGTATGAGTTACTGAACAGAAAGCTGATTTGCTCTGTAAACGGTTACCCGAATCATAAAAAGGTTTTAAAGAAAGGAAATAGCTAACAATCTGCCTTAGGGGCAGAGGGCTGGCTCCAAAGTGGCCCCACTGTCCATGCTGCTGGACAGCCAGGCAGGGTGCAGCTTATCCCCTGCTGGCCCAGTGGCAGCCCTGGGTGGAGCAGCACAGCCCTGTCCTGCTCTCCCTCTTTGTGGCCCTCCCTGAGAGGCATGGCAGCTGCAGGTAAAGCAGGGATCATGTCTCCTGGCATGAGCCCTACTGGGTTTGGTGTCTGGCCCATCTCTCTGGATGAATGAGACCCCACTCTCAAAAAGGATTCTGGTGGTTAGAAGCAGCCCCAGGCCACTTCCCATTAGGCAGAACAAATGAGCTCCCACACCTGTCTCCCCTGCCCATAGCCTCTTCACCTGTTGCTGATGAAGATCACAGAAGGCAGCCCTTGGATGGACTAGAACTAGTCCTTGGGTGGATTAGAACGCACAGAAACCGAAACCCAAATGCCCGGAACTGGACCAGTAGACAACAACATGATACACGGAGAAGAGACTGACGTTGTCAAGGGTCCTTTCACTCGGATCCACGCTCCAAAGCGCAGGAACCATTGTGAGGATGGAGCAGGGCCGTGGGGAGCTCTCGGAGGAAGTACAGCGAGAAGGCTGCTTAGAAATGAGGATGGTGAGATGATGTCTTATCATGTACTGCGGGCATGTCAGGAGAAGCCAGTCCCCGGAGAAGGGCACCCCACTTGGTAGAGAGGGGCAGTGAAACAAGAGGAGGGCTGACACCGGCTGCAACAATGGGCTCCAGACCGCAGCGGAGAGGCTGGAGCGGGACCGGGCAGCATTAAGGTTCGGAACGGACTCCACAGCACCTCCCTCACCTGTCACACACCCCTGCAGCTCCAGGGTCCGGGCAGCGGCGATGGTTTCGGACCAGGACCCAACGGGTTCACCAAGTTCCAGCCCCAGCGGTTTAGGAAGCTGCCAGCGTCCGGTCTCCAGGCAACTAGGGCCAGCCGCTGCCCCGCCTACGCCCTGGCCTTAAAGGGGCCGTTGCCCTCCAGCGCGCGCCAGTCCCCAATCCTTCCTCCTAAAGGCCGCTGCCGCCCCCGCCCGAGGCGGACTCCAAACCGCCGCTCACCCCGCGCTCCCCTTAAGGAGCCGCAGCCCTCTCCACGCATCCTGTGTTCCCGAGGGACCGCCGCCACCCACCCACTCCCATGGGCTGCAACCCAGCTGCTCCTGAACCCGCGCGACTCAGCAGAGAGGTCGGCGACCAGACCCACAAGCCGTGCTGCCTCCAGAACTGCCAATGGGGCAGTTCCGCCGGTCACCTAGGGTTGCTATGTGGCGTTTTGTTCTGGTTTCTGGGCAACCCTTCCTTGCCCAGGGCCACCCAACTCAAACCCACCGCCAGATCCCAACTCCTAGTGACCCACGTCTCCATGTTATTTTCCAAGGCTGTGAATCTTCACTGACCTCCACATTTTGCCCTTGGAGCAGCTGGTTAATTTGACCCACCAACTCTTCGGTTAACAGCCCACCACCCCACTAGGGCTGCTTTGCTCATGGCTCCTCTACAAACTCAGCCCTCTGCCCTGGCCCAAAAGGTGCAGTGGACTGAGCTGGGTTCCCCACTTGCCCCAGGGGGAGAGGTGGGGGCGGGCAAAGTTGGGTAGCTACTAGGCCTTGCTTTACCAGGGGGCAGCGGTGATTCGCAAACACACTTTCCACGCTGCTCTAAGAAATTATCCCAAACTTGGCAGCCTCAGAACAACACAGTCATTACCTGGTGGCTCGGTGCGGCCTCTCACAGGGCTGGCTCCCCTTGCCCGTTGTCTGTTCAGCATGGCCTGTACGGCTTGGGTGGTGGCCCTCTTCCCTCTACACAGCCCCTGGGCCCAGCAGGGAAAGGTCTCCAGGCTTAAGAACAGTGTGCTTAGATAGGCCCCACCTGGGTCATCCATCATCCACAACAGCTGGTTCCAGAGCCTCCCTCAGTCACACACCACAGAGCCCCTTTGCCAAGGTAGGCAAAACCCACAGGCCTGGGGACTAGGAGGCGTCCACCTGTGAAGGTTGTGTCCAGCAGGCTGGGCCAGGATTTTCAGGGGTGGGAGGGGGGTGAGCACGGATTCTTCCGCCAGGAGATCATATACCATGTTCACCTCCACAAGATCTGCTGAGACCTTTTCTCGGGGGTGTGGCCTCCTCCTGATACAAGCACAGAGCCCATCCCATCTGGCAAAGCTGGTGCCATCTCTGACCTCCGGTTCTCTGGCGGTGACCCAGTGGCTCTCGTACCAGCTCAGCTTGGGTTCATCAGCTCGTTCTGCTGAGTCAGAAGCCTCCAGTCTGATGGCTGACCCCAGGCTTGGGACCCGCCAGCCCCTTCCACTTCATGGGTCAGTTGCTTGGAAGGAATTGGTCCCACCCTTGTGTACCTGTGGAAGGGCCCTGGCTTTGCTTCTCCAGAGAAGTCACGAAGACACCGCCCGTGGAAAGCCTTATTTGGCCTGTGCCCTTGTGTTAGTTAAAGGGGAGCCTACAGTTGACTGGACAGCACTGCGGCGGGGCAGCAATAATCACATGGAAGGAACCCCACCTTTGGGGAAGGAGGCCTCTTCCCAGAAGACCCATGGCCTTGTGTGGAGTGAGGGCAGGTGGCCCACTGGATACCTCCCCTCTCCCAGTACCCCGCCCCCCACACCGTTTGGACTGCACAGACAGCCCTTGCCCATCCCTGCCGAGCTCAAACAGACCAAAACCCCCAGGGATACCATCTCTGGTGCCACCTAAGGTCAGTGGTTAGAAGGGCACCTCACAGGTCACACAAGGAGGCCTGGTGGCTACTAAACCGCCAGGCTCTCAGAGAGGTCAAAAGGACGGTTTGGAAAGACCTGGCAATGTGCCTCTGCAAAGCTGAGGGTCTGTGGAGCCCGAGGGGCGGTTCTACCGTCACACGAATCACCGAGTTGGAATTGATGCACAGCACCCACAACAGCAACAAGCTATGCAGAGGAAACATTGTCACTGCACAAACAGTACAGACAATGCAGTCTTATTCTCCCTGCCTGGCCCGGGGCTTTGCTGCCCTGGCTGAACCACAGGTAGCTAAGAGGAGCTAATCCTGGTGGCGTAGTGGGTTACACACGGGCTGATAACCACAGGTCAGTAGACTGAAACCAGTAGCTGCTCCACAGGAGAAAGGTGAGGGACACACGGGGCAGCTCTTCCTTGTCCTAGAGGCTTGCTGTGCGTCCGAATGGACCCGATGGCACTGCGTGGGGTTTGGAGTGAGACCGATTTCATTTTCCTCTCGTGGGCACAGCAGCCCCCAGGCTTTCTTGATCAACACTTTCACAGACATCATACTTGGCATTAGCAGGGCGGAGGACCACAAAAACCAGAAGGACTATGACTTTAAATTCACAAAATTAGACCAAGGCAAGCTTTAATTATTAAGAAAGGCTGAAAGCTGAGACTCAATTACATCTGACCAGAGTGGTGGCCTGGGAGGGGCTGTTCCTGGGCCTTATCTCACACTGTGTCCTTGACTGGCTGCACATGCCCGCACATTCAGAACGAAAGAGGCTGCAGCCGTGCCGCGCTGCTGTGGAAAGGTCCTCACGATAAAATGTTTACCGGGATCCGGGATCTTTTCTTTTTTTGTTTAGAGGAGCAAGCTAATTTTGAAACCAACGGGCGGTCAGTGCTGGGACAGGATGTCCAGGTTGGCGATGTGCCTCATGGTGGGTCTCCCGTGTGGGCAGTTCCAGGGGTGGTCCATCTCGCCCATGTGGCTGATGAGCTTCTTCATCTCCCCGCTGCTCAGAGCCGTTCCAATCATCACCTGAGGCCAGAGGCAGTGTGAAGCCCCTCGCGGCGGCACACGGCCCTCCCTGGTGCCTCCAGAGCAGCACCACCTGGGCTGGCCGGCTCACCCACCTGTCTGGAATCTTCTCCCCACCCCCCAGACGAGCGCAGTGGCATACACACACCCTGCCTCCCTTCCTGAAGCAGCTCATCAGCCACCAGGTGGAAAGTGGGCCTCCCTGGAGCAGCCCCAGGTGTGAAGGTGTGCAGGGCAGCCACGGGACTCAGATAGCCCGCCCATCAATAGGTAGGGGTCAGCTACGCAGAAGCGCAATGCGAGAGCACTGCTGGTGGGAGGCGAGAAAGACCAGTCACCTGGAGTTGGGGCTAAAGCTGAGGCACCTGGGGTTGGTGTGACATCGAGAGCAAACTCTGCAGTTCTGCATGTGGCAGAGCGGTTAAACACAAGTCAGAGCACCAAACCCACCAGCTCTGCCTTGAGACGAAGACGGGGCTGCCTGGTCCCATAGAGCTCTGGTTTCAAACCCAGAGGAGTTCTACCCTGTCCCACAGGTCGCCATGAGGGGGTCATTGCTATGGCCGTGCGTTTGGTCTGTTCTTAATGGCACCTAATGTAAGTCATACGCTGGTGCAACGGTCAAGCACTTTATGGACCAGATCAGGAGCTCAGCTGAAAACCTAGGTAACAGGACCAGGAGCTTGGGCGAGTCCTCCACCCTGGGAGAGGGGCACCCTCCCACCTGTACTCACCGACTTTCGGCAGGCGCGGGAGGCAAACATCTGCCGGACTCGAGAAGGCCTGCACATGACCCCCGGGCAGTCGCTCAGCATGAAGATCAGCTCCTCTATGTCCTGGGGCCCGAAGGTCCAGTTCTTACTCGTGGGCAGAGAGACCAACCTAACTCTCTCAGTGACCGGCGCTAACAGAACAGGATTTGGGGCACAATTCATTATTTGAAAATTGCAAACAAAAAAAAAAGAAAAAGAAAATTGCAAACAGGAGAGGCGATGGGTAGGGGGTGATGGGGGCCCATGGGTTTTCTGGGCGTCTCGGCACCATGTTTCTGTTCACCTAAACGACTCCCAGAGAGGAAGCCTTTGCTTCAGTTGCTCCCTAATGCATTTCCTTGGCGGGCAGCAGTGACAACCATGAGAGGGGGAGCAGATACTGGATGCTCTATGGGGGCACCTCTTACATCTCCCATCCAGGGCCACGACCGAGCTCTCTGACTTCACACTCCAGCCGTAAGAACTTACCATCCTCATTAATGAGGAAGTCAAAGCCATTCTTTCTGAAAATGTCCAGGTTTTCCATCAGAACAGCCTCGTTGACGGCCGTCAGATTGAGCGTCTGCGGTCTGAAAGACAGAAGCCGGGTCCTGCAGGCTTGCACCGGGCTGTGAGCAGACACCACAGGCAGACCCCTGTGACATTCTCACTGCACTGCAGACAGTAAGGCCCTCCGGCCCCAACTGTCTGCAAACATCCTTTTTGCTTTTTTTAAGTTTTGCACCCCACGACCCACCCCCACCCCTACCTCAGCGGCTCCCTTCCTGAGTGGACTGAGCTTCAGAGACAAACACTACGAAGGGTGGCGACAAAGCAAGAGCACCACAAGGAGCAGATACAGAGGTCTCTGCCCTCCTGGAATGAGGGAGCCCACGGGAAGGTGTGAGCCTTGGTACGAGCCTTCTAGCCATGGTCTTGGTGACAACCCCCAAAGTGACTGCGAGGACGATGCACACGTGAGCATACTGGTGACTCGCCAAGGGGGTTGGACAGTTTGCTGGCGGTGTAAATGCAGTATAGGCACCCTTGTGGGGTGGGGGTCACGCAATCAGTGTATGGGACCCTGATGTGGGGTTGTTAGTTTTGCCATCCCATAAGCTTTGGAAAGGTGCCCATCTCAGTGCCACAGAGAGGGTCAGGGGTGGTGCACATCCTTTGGGCCTGAGGTCCCTGTGTTGAACCCCCTCAATGCAGGAGACAGCTCTGTGATACCACAGGCAGAAGACGCAGCAGCAGCAGCAACACAGAGGCAACAGATTGGAGAGCAGTGGGCTTCCCGGCTCTCAGAGCAGAAATCCCAGTGCTGTAGGGCAGGGGCTTGCTGAGGTGGGGAAACTAGGTTTGCTAAGCGACCTGGGGTTGCGGCTTCCTCACCGAATGCAGGCAGGGCCTTAGGGAATGAATGGGCAGTGCTAAAGGAGCTTGTAACACTCACCTGAGCAGGGCTGAGGCCTAAGGCCTTGTGGTTAAGATCAGAGGTTTTCGGGCCAACCAGTGATCAACACATTTTAACAGCTGAAAAGGTTTGATACTTAGAGGACACATTAGTTGCGTGACCTTGGGCAAAGTCTCTCACCTTTCTGTGTGTGCCTCAGTTTTATCACCTATAAAATGGGATCGGGAAGGGTAATTACCTCACAGGTTTGTAAGAATTAAATGAGTTGACCTAAGCAAAATTGTTTCGGAGGTGCCTGACACCTAATACACGTCCATCAGTGATAGCTAGAACTCCTGTAGAGTAGAGGCGCGGTGAAAAAGAGGACGGCCCTTAACAAGATGAGTGGCCGCAATCACAGACGCAAGCCGAGGTACAACTGTGAGGATGGCGAGACAGACAACTGTTAGGTTGGGCATTGGGTCACTACGAATCAGAACTGACTGGATGGCACCTAATCACCGAATTCTTATTATATAAATATTTGTTATAAGGATATAATATTTATAATGATGCTTATAGAAAAACACTCATATCCACCCTACAGGACAAAGTAGAACTGCTGCTTTGGGTCTCTGACACTTCAGCTCAATGCGTAACCCTCTGCGCCACCAGAGCTATGAATTAGAATGGACTCAATGGTTATGGGTTTGGTAAGACAAAAGGATGAGAGCCCTGGTGGCACCGTGGGGTCATATTTGGGTTCATAACCCCATGGTCGGCTGTGGGAGAAAGATGAGTCGGTCTGCTATCTCGGTCTTGAAAACCCTCAGGAGCAGTTCAGTACGGTCCGTCGCTATGAGTCAGAATCTACACGACGGCAGTGGGATTTACAGCAAAGCAAAACGCACAGCTGTCAATTATTCATGCCGAGTCCCTGGACCTGGCCGTGAACTCACGCGATGAGCCTCTGGCCCTGGAGGGTGGTGTGCTGTTGCAACATCTCAAAGTTGTACTTCTCGTCAGTGGCGTGCTGGTCCACGATGAAGAGGTCTGCACCCAGTCTGGTGATAATGAAGCCCAGGTTGAACTGACCGATGATCTCCATTTCTGCAAACATGGTTTTACTGCAGGCAGAGCAGACACTGGTTACCAGGTGCTTTAAAAGAGGATTTTTTTCTCTGATGAGAAAACAGATCACTGTAATAAAAAAGGAAGTAATAAAATAAAGTCCCTAATAAGCCAATTTCTAAAGGCAGCAGTGGTTCTTCATTTAGTATTGTCCAACTTTCCGGAAGTTATGATGTCATCACTGGGCGCCCTTAAGCTGGTTGTGACGCCCAGCCGTGCCGTGTTAGAAGAGAATGAAACGCTCTCGCTCTCGGCAGCGCCCAATCCCGCACTACCCTTACCAACACAGTGTCCACCCACGGTTTTTCTCTTGTTCCCTGATCCTCTGCTTTAACAAGCATGATGTCCCTCCCCTCCTCGTGACATGCCCAAAGTATCATCATCCTCACTTCTACGGAAGAGTCTGGGGACACTTCTTCAAAGACAAATTTGTTCTTCTGGCAGTCCGTGGAATAGGCAATATTCAACACCAGAATTCAAAGCATCAATTCTTCTCTGGTCTTCCTTATTCACTGTCCACCTTTAGTATGCCAACTGAAAATACCATAACCTGGCTGGGACAGGTGCACCTTTGCCCTCAAAGACACAGAACCTTAGCTACTAACTTTCAACCAAATTTGTGTATGTCTTTGCAGGAGTCCGGAAGGCACTGAGGGGAAGCATTCAACTGCTAAGTCACAGTTGGAAGTTGCAGCCCAGGGAGTGGCTCTGCAGGAGGGGCGCTGGCCATCTGGCTCTTGTGAAGGTACGTGAGGGGAGTTCTGACCTGCCACATGGAGTCACTAGGAGACAGAATCAGCTCGATGGCACGCAACTACACTACTACTCACCCACATTGGTGAAGAGTATTCTCCCAGGCCTTTATATTCAAAATAATAATAGTAGTAATAATAAACAAAACCCAGAAATGCTCACTTGGTTGGCCCATATAATCCTCATCACACAACTGATGGGCCACTTAGCAGCTCACTGAGAAACTAGAGGCTCAAATGCACCCTGAGGTGCCTTAGAAGAAAGGCCTGGTGACCCACTTCCAAAAGGCCAGCCATGAAGCCCCAGTGGAGAGTAGTTCTAGCCTGAGAGACTTGAGGGGTCACTACAAACATCAGAGGGAGAATATGAATTACATTCTACACAATGGAGCACAGCTCTAGCCTGACAGACACGGGGTCACTGAGACCTGGAGTCAGTGCAATAGCAGCTGCCTTTTGTGGCAAATTGGTGAATGCCGAGGGCATCACCAGGGGTACCCTGAGGCGGCCACTGAGCAACCATCTCCAGAGGCAGAACTTGAGAAGGCAGCAGGGGAGATGCACTAGCGAGTCTGTGTGAGGCTACCTCATCAGGCAGGGGGAGCTAGTGCCACCTCAGGGCCACGTCTGAAGGCAGAGCCAGCAATACACCAGTCTCCCAAGGCAGAGCAAGTATAAGTGCAGCAGAAACACACCCTACAGACGGTCAGTCATTTTCCCTCACAGCCACCCTGCAGGGCAGGGCAGAATGTTCCCCAGGAGTCCAAGGCCAGAAATCTTTAGGGATGCAGACTGCTTCATCTTGCTCCCCCAGTGTGGCTGCTGGGTTCAAGCCACCTACCTTTTAGTTAGCAGCCGAACGTTTAACCACCATGCCATCAGAGCTCCTCATGCTACTCGGAGCAGCGAAACCCACCATGGGAGGGTCCCTCCGAGGCTCCCTTAGGGCAGGTCACTAACAGCAGCCCAAACACTGAAGAAACCCTTTCTGTACCTGATCTCTTTTCGCAGCTCGTCCTCTGCGGCTTGGTTCTCTCCGGGACAGATCTTCGCCCTGAATCTCCGGTACTTCTGTTCGTCTTCCTTGTCCTGCCCTTGCTGATGTAGCCACGTGACCTGCTTCACCAAAGTGCTCATGGAGAAGGGAAGGGACACGATTTTCTTCCTGATCTTAATGGCGACATCCACCAGAGAGGCCGGCCTGTTCTGAGGCTTCACCAGCTTCTGAGGGATGCCACGGTTTGAGGCAGTTTCTTCTTTTTTGAAGCGCTTTACCTTTGAGGGTGGGCTGTTAGTTGGCGGAGACACAGGCCTACAGGTGTGTCCAGCGCCGTCCTGGCCTCCGTGGCATTCCACAGCTGAGAAAGGGCAGGCCAGTTCAGGGGACTTCTCACAGGGATCCATGCTCTCCTGTGACGCTCTGCCTTCTGAGGAGCTGGTGGCCCAGTCACTGCTGAGATGGCTGCCCGTCTCTGGGGTGCTGTCCCCTGCCTCTGAGCTCACAGAGGTGCTGCCCTGCCCCGAGTCCTTCTCCATGTCCACTTTGTCCCTCTGGTCACAGGGGCCCTGGCCTGGACACACCCCCTCATTCTGAGAGCTACACATGCCCCTGCCAGAGACAGGCTGCTGGAGCTGCGGGCTGTCTGAGGTACTGGACAACAATCCCCTTGTTCTTGGTCCAGGAAAACCCTGCTTCAGCTCAGCAGTCTGCAGGCCCTGAGGCCGGTACCCTGCTGGGTGCTGGAGAGAAAAAGCCTCTCTCAGTCTGGACACGGTCACTGCCCGTTTTTCTTCTCCTTGTGTCCGGAACAAAGCAGGGCTCTCCTGCCTCTCTGGGGGTGATTTCTCCATGGCTGCGGAGGGCATTTTCATGACGTTCCCTGGGGAGGGAGGAGGATGAGACGATGAGGGAGTGGACTACAGGGCGTGGACAGCACTAAGAAAGCCGCAGTGGTTAAGTGATTGTTTGCTAACCAAGGGGCCGGTGGTTCAAATCCACCCAAGGGCTTCTTAAGAAAGAGACTTAGTCATGATCTGCTCCTATGAAGACCACTGCCACCAGGACTTCCTCAAAAAGCTAGAACTAGAAATTCCTTCTGAACCTGCGATGTCCGCTCCGCAGCTGAGCGCTGAGAGCAGTGGCGTGACCAGACATAGGGCACCTGAGCTCACTGCTGCCTTTGTCACAGCGTCCCTCTAGGTACCCGCCAACAGACACCCGATGGCACACCATGCAGCCATGGAAGAGCGATGAGCGATGCCCAGAAAAGAACATGGGTGACTCGGGAGGGCACTGTGCTGAGTGACAAAAGCCCATCACAAAAGACAAACATTGTCTGGTCCCACTACGCTGCACCGTCAGGACTACATACAGCGAAAGCAGCGTTTTGGGCTGGTTAGCAGGAAGGGAGGAGGAGGAGGAGGAGAAGGAATCGCTTTCTAGGTGGTAGACTTGCTACTTGTGGTGAAGGGAGAGGAACAACCCAGTCTGGTGAAGTCTGCACACGTAAACAAGGTAAAGGAAGACATGAGTAAGCCCTGCATTTTTACAGGCTACATACATTCAGCCAC